ACAGCTTTGAAACAAACAGTCAATAGTATTGCTTGTTTAGATTAATTTTTATTTATGTTTGGTTTCTTTTTTTTTTTAATAGCTAAATATAACCTTAAAATTTTAGGGAACCAAGTTTACAAGTGTTGCCACTCTCAATATGGTGGACAATCTCTCAAGGGGTTAACTATCTATCCCCCCTCTAGACAGATTAATGTGCTTTTTAAATATTTAGCTGTTTGTTTATTGTTTTATTAAAATAAAATATATATTTATATATTTTCTGGCTTTTGCATTAAATGATAATAAGTGCTCAGTGGTGTGGTGACCAATTAGAATAAGTCTCAGCTTTTTTTTTTTTTTTTTCCAGAATGCATTTGATTTGATGAAAACTCCTGCATCTAGAGTCAAACTATGTCCAATTATTTTTTTATGTAATTATCTTTTCTGTTATATGATATGTGTATTTGAATTGTTCTGGCAATTCAAGATGCCAAGAACCAAACCTTGTGGAACACCCTTATGAGTTTGATCTTGGCCAAGCCTCCTTTGCAAAACAGATTTGTGATTTCCATGGGAAAACTCTGCTTGAATAAATGGAAAAAGACTGAAATCTTAGTCAGATAAAGGGGTGTGGGGGTGTTTAATATTTAGGCATGGGCTTGGAGGTGGTTGTAGCAACAGCTGATGTCCAGATGTACCAAAGTTTTCCCACTACTACAAACTGCAAAAACAAGTTTGATTTAAATATTTGGCTTTAGAAGCAACTCTAGAGTGTTTGGGTTTCTAAGATTTTATGGTCTCTGTAATGTGAGAATGGTGTTTTCCTCTGGGATATAGTCCAAACTTCAAAGGAGCCACTGGAACAGTCTGAGGCTCTTTCTTCTGTGTCCAAGATACACCCAGAATGTATCTTTGTGCAAAATGGACACAGGCAGAGCTCCCTAACCTATCCATGTGTCCTGTCCTTCTCAGCCAGAGGGCACTGCATGGATGGGGTGAAATAAGGCGATAGGAATGCGGAACCGGTGAGAAATGCAGCTGGTAAAGGAAGCGGCTCTAAGCAGACCCGCTATCTGGCTCCAGACTGATCCTGGTTCCCAGAAACAAAGCAGCGATTGTTACGGTCAGCATCAGAAACACACAAAGTTGGAGACAGTGATTGGAATGGAGTGTTTTTTTTTTTAAGTTAAAAACAAAAAAAAACAACAAAACAGAAGGAAAAAAAAGTTTTTACTCACTGTTCTCTGCAATCACGCCGTGTAGACCGGCCAGAGCCGCTAAAATAAATCCGCAGATAAATGCGCAAAGAGTGGCTGAAGCCATCGTGTCTGCGGGAGGAGAGCTTCTCGCTGTCGGCCACGCAATTCCCAAAAGTTCATCTGATTAACAATCCGCGCTGGTTTTTAGCCTGGAAAAGCGAGCATCAGAGTGAGTCATGCGGAGGAGTCTGCGCCTTGTTTTAATAGTGCGCACACACCCACGCTGAACAGTTCAACTCCTATGAGTCATTTCCTATGTTACCGCGGCGCTGCGCGGAGTCTCTGTGCGCCCACAGGAAACCCTGCTGCGCTGCGCGCTCATCTCTCACTCTAAAAGTGAAAGTTTCAATCAAATCACTCCAGGTATGACAGATTCCATACATAAACTTATATATTTTTACATTTCAGTGGACACGCCCTGCTTGTTTTCCCACTCTGAACACTGTAGTCTGCGTTTACAGCGTTTTCATTGTTATTACCACGCCTGCAGACGTCATTCTCTGCCTTCTGCCAACAAACACAGCTCTCTGGCAGGGGTCTGGGGTCCCTTACGCAGAGCAAAAAGAAAAAAAGAAAAGAAAAGAAGAGGAACCCAGGCAAAAACAGATGACATCAATTAAGAAGTTAAATCCACCCGCCTTAAGGCATTTTAGAAGGTTTATTAAGAGGTGAAATTTTAGATTTGGTTCCAAATAGCCTTACACATCTTTCTGTTAGACACTGGCTGATGAAGAGTGAGCGTCACTGACGCAGGGTGGTGTTATTAATGTCTTGTGCTGGGTGTGGCCTGCTGCTGCTGCACAAATATGCAATAACAAAGCCAGTGGACACACTATCAGCCACTCACACTATTGTTTTATGTGTAAACTCACCCCAACATCTGCTTTTGTTCATCATAAAGTGAAATCTACTATTCTATTTAGTCCAGCAACTTGGAAAGTATTCACACCCCAGTTTAAAAGATTCACTTTGGTTTATTTTATTGCTTTTGATTTGATTTATAAACGCATTCATACATTTTTTTTCTAAGTTATCTATAATCTTTAGGCATGTCCAGGCCAGCTGGTAGTTCTTCCTTTTCAACCCTTCAGTTTGGAGAAGCGGTGGCTCTGATTAGAGGCCCCACTGGAGCAGGGGTTACCAATTAAAAATCAGTGGGGTCTGAATAAAGAAAATCATCAACCAGTAAAGGTCTGGAGACATTTTTAAATATAATCTGTTACTTTAAACAGAATTTAACTCTAAAATAAAGTGAGGTGTTTATGCATCAATGTTAATCTCAATGGGACTTTTCTTGGTTAAATAAAGGAATAAATGAAAAACAAAAATGTTATACATTGAATTTTTCAATAAAAAAATTGAAAATTTTTCCATTTTAAATATAAAGTGTTTTTTTTTTTTGAAGTAGAGAACAACAATCTTTCAGTATGGACAATTTCCTGATTCACATATTTTATAAAAAAACATGGACTGACTGTTATTTTTTTTCTCCTTTCTTTTTTCTGTCTTAATGAGAGCAGTGGGCTTTAGGCTGCCCTGCAAGGCTTTCAACCTGGGTTCGAATGGCGACAAAAAGATTCTCCAGCACATATCAAGGTGTTGATTATGAGCCTGGATGGATATTTATTTTTTATTCTGTTTATTGTGGAGAATCCTGCTTCACAGCAGCAGGTTGAGCCAAACATCCTCTAAATGTGCAGGGTCATCTTTGAGCACCATTTCACTTTTCTGTCACCAGTTCATCGCAGTTCTTCCAGCAGTCCACACTTTCTCTCCTCTCTTTTTTTCTCATCATCTTCTCCTTCTGTCCCATCGCCCGGCTTGCCACAGGTTTGCCTGCTGTGTCTAAAAGTAACAGCAGCAGCAACCCAGACTGACTCATTTGCTATTTGGCATCACGTGTAGCCTGGTGCCGGACGCTCCGGAGGGCTTTACCATATTAACAGAAACGGTGCAAGTGAATTTAGAAAATGTCGTCGGACAACATGCAGTAATTTATGTTTTAAATCAGGTTGTGTCTGGATCCGGACCGCAGTCCGCTAATCCGTGACCCCTGCACTAGAGAATGAAGCTCCTCAACCTGTAAGACTGAGTTTAGCCTTCAAACAAAACACAATATGTCTAAAGTTTAAGAAATAAAAAAAAAAGTATTAAAAATGGGACACGCCTGTTGATTCAGCCCCCTGATCTGATACCCTCAAATGAAATGTACTACAGCTGTCAATGTCACCCTTGTTAATAAACTATTCCCTTATTAAGCAACATTAGAGTAAAAAATAACAGGGTTTTTTTTTCAGGAAGGCCAACCAACAAAATGTAGAGCATAAATGTGGAGGAGAAATATCACGGTTTTCTTAAAATGTTTCTATAAAAACAATGATGCTGACATGCAACTGGATTCTGCCCCTGCTTCTCTGACACCCTTCAATAAAACAACCAGTCATCTCAGGATAAAGCTGCTAAGTGACGGCCACATCTTGCCTTCTTTTGGTTGATATGTTGACCACTATGCCTGAAAACATACTGCTGTGTTACATGGTGGAGGCAGCATCATGCTGTGGGGATGTGTCTCTTCGTCAGGGATGTCAAATTCAAGTCAATTCTGGAATAAAAAGTTAAAGGTTGCAGAAGACCTGAGAGAGGTGATAAGGTTTAGCTTCCACGAGGACAACGTCTCTAAATAACCAGCCTGAGATACGATGGATGGGTTTTTATAATGAGTTAGCTCTAAATCATTCCAGATGTAATATAACTTAGAATCTGTGGTAAGAATGTATGCCCATATAATCTTTCTATTCATCCAACTGAGTTAAAACTATTTTGCAAAGATCAGAGGGTAAAAATGTCAGCCTGTAGATGTGAGGAACTGGTGAAGACCAACATGCAGCTGTTACTGCGGAAAATGTTGTTCTACCAAGAATGAGTCGGAAAGCTTAACACATGCAGAGCTCACATTTAAAATATTTTAGTTTTTTAAATGCATGTCCTTAGTTCAAAGCTGTGCTTCACTTTTCTAGTTGGTCACATTAAAATCCTTATTAACCAAAGTGAAGTTTGACTTGATGTGAAAAAACACTCCAGAGGATTGAAGACTTTTTCGCTAAGCAGTGCATAGCTAAAAAAATGCATGAACTGCCCTGCTGGGTTTTATATTTTTACTACATGAGAGCCAGTTCTTCAGGAAATCTCAGCTAACTATTCCCAAATGCCTGATAAACGTATTCTTTCCCCACATTCGCTCATCTCCTCTACAGCCTGGAACCTCTTATGTGTTACATGGTGCGAACTGCCTTTCCCACAAGAACTAACGTCAAACAGACGCTAACCAAACTCTCAGTAAATAGCTCACATCATCGGGGAGGGGAGGAAGGTTTCATTTGCGCAATTAAGCTACAGGCAGATGTTATTTTACTTCATTGTCACGGCTAACCTTTAGGAAAGCTCTCTAGGACCTGGAGCCCACTAAGGACACCCATATGAGCTGACTTTCCACTGAAGTGATTTCATCAGTAATGAGGCACTATAAGCTGCAGATGTTGTGTCAAACTCTAGCAGGAACCATGGTAACGCGTTGAACACACACAGAGGAGCTTGCCCAAGGTGATCCAAACACTCCTGTATGTGCTGACTGTGTGCCAAACTGGCTGATGTCTTGCAGGCATTGTTAATGCTATAGCCCAAGTAAAGACGTGGGACAAACCTGCCTGTTGTACTTTATACATTGGAAACATATTTAGCTTCAAGCATGCAATCCTCCACTCTGTGAGGGATGGCTTTCTTTTAATTAAGAAGTTTAGGTTTCAGCTTCAGAGATGAAAAAGCAGCATTACAAACAAAAAACACTTTATGACGATCACACACACACATCAACAAGCTCAGTTTTTCCCCAACATATTACAAAGCATTAAAAGTTGGCCCATGTCTTTTTGTTAAAAGAGAAAATGAATAACAACTAATTCAGCTAAAGACAAAAACAACTCAGAGCAGCCCCGACATGGAAGAACATAACTTTGTTCAAAAATGTGTTTATTAAACTACCTCACATCACTGTCAGTCAGATATATCACTATGTTTGGTCACCAAATGGCAAAACTGTGGGAAAAAAACAACTCTTTCCAGAGAGATTTTAAAAAGTTCTTCTCTCCGAGTAAACCTGCAGTTCTATCCTCTCGTTTCTTCTCTCCTTTGGTTCTGTCTGTTTCTACAATGATCTGTTCTCTTTTCCGTCTGACTCAGGTGATGTAGATGCGGTGGAAGTCGTTTGCTCCGAAGGCACAGTTACACTTGGGGCACTTCCTCTGTCGGGTGTCGTAGCGCATCTTCAGGCACTCATAGCAGAAGACATGGAAACATTTGGTGAGGACGGTCTCCTTGTCCCTTGTGTTGCAGCAGGGGCAACGCAGCTTGGCCTGAGGGCGGATAAATTCATATGTTTAATGCAGGGATAATCATAGTTCTGTTGGTTTTTAGACTCACTTTGAGGTTTAGAAAATAAAAGAGTCTAGGAAGGAACTAGAAGATGGCAAACAGAATAAAATACATGATGGTTTAAACATTTTCTTACAATTAAAAATCTGAAAAGTGTGGCATGCTCTTGTATTGCTCCTTTCACTTCAGTAAACCTAACCTCTAACCTAAAATTGACCAAACTAGTCTGATTAAATGCATCCAGCTGTGTGTAGCTTAGCTTAAGCATAAACTAAGCTTTTCCTTTTTTGCTCAAAGCTGAAGGGAAGATGGATGGACAATACAAATCTGTGACAAGCATGTCTTGACGCCCGGCTCGGAGCAGACTGGCACAGCTGCAGCTTCTGCTGCAGAAATGCTAACAAGAGCAAAGAATTTCACAATGGTTCACGCTCTTTACTGGAAACCTAGGGCAAAACCATCAGTGGGCATAACTATCCGTATTCATCCTCCGATAGTCTATTGGTTTCCCAAAGTTACTTTGTTTTTTACTTTCACCAGTGTAGGTTGGTGAGTTGATTTTATTCTGAAATGCGACTAGACTTTGTTCCTTTCTAGTGAAATGTAGGGGACCACAACCGGACTGGCCAAACTTGCCTCCAATAGAATCATGTTGACCCAGACAGCCTTGGTAACTCTACCCACAATGCACCATGGCGGATGCGTGTGTAGAGAATAATTTTGAAAGCCCGGTGTGACTCAGAGGGAGAGAATACAAAAACTTGCCACACATTTTCCCTGACTTTCGGGGAAAAAAAAAAGTTATATAAAAAGTGATATATATATATATATATATATATATATATATATCAGGGATGGAACGGTTTATAAAAACATCCGAACCGTTTGGTTTGACTGTCTCGGTTCGGTTCGCGTGTGTTGCGTTCGGTTCATGCGCTGCTCCTTTTTCTCATAGGCGAGAAGACGCACCAGGAGCACTTTATAGGTCTGCTGTATGGAACCATTTTGCATTTAGAGTGACCTACGATGACGGCAGAAAGACAGTTGTGGATAAAAGTGCAACAGTGTGCAAGCATTGTGCAACACGTTTTGTTTATGCTAACAGCAACACGACCAACATGTCAGGCTAACAATCAACATATACTGAACCGAACCGAAAACTGTAACCACGTAACCGTGAACCGAACCGTGGATTTTGTGAACCGTTCCACCCCTAATATATATATATATATATATAAATAATATATGAATAATTATATGAATATATGAATAATTCCTCCTCACCTTGTACTGATTGATCTCCTCCTGTAGGATCTCATCTGCATCAGAGTAAACCTCTACCTTCTTCTGCTTCTCCAGCTTCCTCCTCAGCCGGGACAGATCCTCCTATAGAGGTGTGAGGACAGGTTTTAGTGCTGCAGTCTGGTATTTAGCTGACAAGTGTCCAATCATGACCATGAGGGCAGACTTGTTATCCTCAGAGGTTAGAGACAGCATACCTGAGCTCGTTTAAGGTTGCTGCTCTCCCTCTCCCGAGCGGTGCGGTTCTCAGCCACAGAGACCTGGATCTCTTTCAGCTTGGCCTGCGTGTGTTCCAGCTGCACCTTCAGGTCTTCTGCCAACTGTGCTGCCTCCACTGCCTGCAGCGGGAAAGGAAACAGTAACACTCAATGAAACAATTCCTGCCGGGTAATGTTGTGGCACAGAGAGGTTTCATAAAAAGACGTAGGCCTAATTACTCCAGTCTGACTTATCCTGTTTGCTGCAGATTTCATATTTTCCACACTGCAAGTTATTCCATCAGTTGAAAAAGGATGATGATTAATCTCACCTTCCTCTTGTTGAGTTCTAGCGCTTGTGTTCTGACAGACAGCTCCTTCTCCAAAGCAGCCAGTGTGGTTTGCAGGACTCCCTCTTTCTCTTCAAGCTTCTGCACAACAAGCAGCTGGGCATCCACCTTCAACAAGGACCAAAGGAAGCAGAATTTGATTTATTTACAGCAGCAAGACAGAATAAGCCTTTCAGGCTGCATTTCCAGGTCAATGGTGGTTTATTAAAGGGGTAACATGGAAGCTTGCTGTGGGGCAGCGTGAAAAGAAGGTGCATAAGCACTGATGGCAAACAGTGCATCTTTTTATTTCTTTTATTGTATTCTTTGCATCATGCAGTCAGTAAGGGGTTGCGCCCAGTGTGTTAAACTGGTACACGCTGCTTGCTTCTGATAAAGGGAGTAGTTTTGAAGATTTTCTAGGTTTTGATCAGTTTTCAGGAGGTATTGTTGTTCATTGGTCCCGTTTATCCAGGGCACAAGTTCCCCTGTGAAGTCCTTCTCTCTTTAGCAATACTGACTCAACATGAATCAACATGCAGCTGGGAGAAATGAAGACCTTACGTCGTTGCAAACAGAGCATGTCTGTGGATGTTTGTATCGTGGAAGTAGCCATGGAGAGAGAAAAGTGTAGCGCTAACAGGGAAAACATCCAGTGAGGACGTTTCCATAGAGCTGCCAAGTGGACAGAACACCTCACCTGGGTTTTGAACGTGAGAACTTGGTCAGCCAGCTCCTCTTTCTCCTCCTTCAGCAGCTTGTAGATCTGGTTGGATTTGATCCTTTCACTCATCAGCTTAAAGTTGGCATCGTCTTTCTCCCGTAACTGCTGCAACAGCCTGCTGTTCTGCTCCTGCATGTCCTCAAAAGCCTGTCCGGTTACATCCATCTCGCTCAGTAGGGCCTCCTCCTCCTCAAATGAAATATAGAAGATGTTGAGGATTGACAGCACTGAAAAGTGAGTGAGAGAACATCTGGCAGCCAGCTTGTGAGGCAGGTATTCACTTCCAGAAGTTTCTGTTCACTTTCTTCAACATTATTATGTCGTAAAGCCAATTCATTCATCCATTTATCTACTCTAGTGTGGCACAATTCATTTATTGGATGGTTTGGACTCTACTCTCCATCCATGGATAGTTTTCTGTTTAAGAAGAAGTTGAGTGTTTTTATAGAAAAGATTAATATATATATATATATATAAAGAGTATTAAATTAAATGAGAAAGGATAAAAGCTTCATGCTAAGTGAACACATGTTTTCATCATCTTGTACCTCAGTTCCCATAAACCAAACATGTGGGCATGTTTTAGGTTTAATGACTCAAGTGTTCTGTGAGTTCGGACCTTCCCCTTAGTCGGGCCCGGCGCTAACGCGTGTTCTGGGTGATACCATCACATTAAATACATGTGTGAATTTACCCAGAAGACATAAGAAAAATGATCTCCAGCAGCATTTAGACATTTCCTCAGTTAAACTTTTAAAGGTCTCTGCAGAACTGCTGTTAAACGTTCAACTACGTTTCCTTATTTTATATTGATATTCATAATGGGGAAGGAAGGAAGGAAGTATTTCAATAATTCACATTTTAATATTTTGAAAATGTCTTCATTTTGCATGACTTCTCAGCTCAAGAGTCGGCGCACAGACCTGTACGCATTTACTGTGCAGATAGGGCTACTATTAGTGGAGTGAACGTTGAACGCACCACTATAAAGAGTTAATGAGAACGAATCAGAACTCAGTTACAGAAAAAAAACCTACTGACCCATAACCTGGGCTGATGATTATCTAAAATTTGTAATAAGATGTGCTTTTCTTCTAAGAAGATTATAAAATTTTCAACCCATAATAAAAAACAAAACCAACCAAAATGTTCCCAAACTATTGTCTAATTATGTCTGATTATAGAACAATTTGGCTTGTTTTCTACTGAAGACTTTCAGGTATAAACCTCACTGCTTGATGGGAGTCCCGTCAGGTAAATAGCTGCTCCTTCTGAGGGTTTCAGGTCAGATTATGATTACAGAGCCAAGTTAAAGCAGATTTAGGTGTCCATGGTTCTGTAGCTCAAAATAGAACCATTTCTTTTTGATCAAGCAGCCATTTCAGTGAGAAACTCATACTAGGAAAAACCTTTGAGCTCAGGAAACATACTATTACCTCTTCTACAAAAGATTCCTAAAATCATGGCTGAAGAAAGGTCGAGTGCGTGTGCATTTGCTCTCAAAATGTAACTGTTTTATTACATGTTTATTGTATTTTTTTAGTAATGTGTTTAAAGTATTATAATATACATACCAACAGCCTCAGTGACTAGAAATTAGCCTATTTGGCTAAATTGTCATAATTACAAAAATGTTTATTTATTCTTATCCCTTCCTTGTATTTCTAACAAATAAACAAGTTGGAATAAATTGTAAATTGGCCCAAAGGTAATGAGATCACCTGGACCAAAGTTAAAGTCTGAATTAAAGCAGGAATCCAAACAGGAGATGAGCCACATCACTATTCCCTCTACCTCCCATCACAAATGCAGCCATTTTCAACTAGAAACCCGTACTGTAATACTTGCTCATAACTTTTACGTTTTGCAGCATAAAAACTAAACATTTTTAACCTGACCAGTCAGTTCTGTTTCATCTGATGCTAAAAATAAAAACATATGTAAATCATGAATGCAACAATGGGACACAGGTAGTTTTAAACTAAAAATCCAAACTGGTATACAAGAATGACTTTTGCTTCAGTCCCTTGTTCATCAACATTCACTCTCTTTCCTATCCATGGCTGAACCCATAAAAACAAGTTGGCTGAACTAATGAGTAGCTTTCTTGTTCCTTGCTGTAAGCTATATTCTTAACGATGCTACAACAGCCAATTTTGTAAAACACCAATAGGTAGAAGTAAAATGGTAAACAATGTGTCATCAGTTCGCGCTGGGTTGTCCCTTCATTTAATTACGTTCTGGAACATTTCCCAAGCATGAAGAGCTGTAGATGAATCACATCTCAGCATCTGTTGCATTTTTTATCTATGAGTATAAAAAGCACATACATAGGGGCAGATAGTGTGACTCAAATGAACTAATAAGCCTCTAAGATTGATAAAGCTAAGGTCAACAGCTGGGGAATAAGAGTGCGTATAATCTAATAAAAGTGGATCTGTCATAAGCTACATAAATGATTGAAATTCTATGAAGTTACTAGAATAAGATTCGACCATGGGCAGATTATTGTTTAACACATTTCTGCTGATTTAGAACAAGGAAATTGGAAAAAAAAATGAGAGAACGAACAAAATAGGATTTTTAAAGGTGGGAAAACACTCAGGTCTGAATTATGAGTCTTAGGCTACGTTCACACTGCAGGCCTTGATGCTCAATTCCGATTTTTTTGCAAAATCTGATTTTTTTTTGGATTGCCAATCATATTTACAAATATATGCGACTTCTATGTGATCTCCTGTGTGAACTGCAGTCATACAACGCAGGTGTCCAGCATGCATAGTAGAGGACGCAATGACATCACAGGCCAGCGTTCTCTGTGTTTACGGAAGTAAACATGAATGGTAGTGCCGGTGCGCATCAGGCAATCTTTTCCAACCATAAAAACAAAATTTTTTCAAGATGGTTAAACAATAATACTGCTCTCTGCATCATCATCTGCCATGGTTGTTGTTTTTCTTGCCGCTTCTTCGTAGCAAGACGCAGAATGGTGACCTTTGTTGGGTATTAATGGCGTTCAGGTCGGATGAATGCGACCTGGCTGTTCAGACACAGGTCACATTTGAAAAGATCAGATTCGTATCGGATTCAGGACCACATAGCCAAGTGGCCTGGGTCACATTGGAAAAAATCGGATCTGTGTTGTTCAGACTGTCATGAAAAGATCATATCCAGGTCGCATATGGGCAAAAAAAAAAATGGATTTGGGTCACGTCAGGCTGCAGTGTGAATGTAGCCTTGGTTTCTAAATTGGATTACCAATAAAGAGGCGGCGGGGCAGGAAAGTCTAAATTTTCTTGCAATATTTTTACTAAAGTAAGGATAATTTATTTTATATGTGACATTTTAATTAATTTTTTTTAGTTAATTATCATAGTTAGAATCATACATGCATGATTCCCCCCTCTACAATTTAAAAAACATGAAAGAGGAAAACTAGTTTTCTTACCATAATCATCTCATTCTCTTCTATAACTGACCGAGGCAGAGGTGCGAACTCACCCACAACATCACAGTAACCATTCCTCAGTGCTTTTTAAAAGCCTGGTCTGGATCTGAGCCCATGTTTCACCTCTGTGTGTGACTACATTTAGCTCCGGTGTACGACTGGGGCCTATGCTTCAACTCGCTAGGAGTCGTGTTTTGAGTTTGCACTTAACGTGTCAGATTTTTATGCAGTGCCTGCTAGTCATTTCATGGAACTCTAAATGTTTTTCCAAATGAAGCCGATAGCGAAGGGGATGCAACACTGGCTCTAGCTTCCAGCCTGTCTGTTTGCTGTCCTCAGCTGGTCCAGTAGAGGTGATCAGGGAGCAGCTAAATAACAGGAGTTAATAAAGCAGGGAAACAATCTTATGGGGATTTTTGTTGTATTTTTTCAAACATGCAAATTAACTAAAAAGGAAATATTTTATAGGCTATCAATTATTAAGACATTTAAAAACAGAGTAAGCAAGGCTAACATTATCAGTTTGATCTTTAAGGCGCATAGTCATGTTATATGCCCATAAAAAAATAAATAAATAAAAAATAAAAAATTTGCTTATAATAAAATTTGTTCTTATAGACCAAACTTCCATCCTGATGGTGTTTAGATTTTATTTGTGGATAGGCAGACATAAACAGACATGTGTGCCAACCAACAGCCATAGAACTATGCCTCGTTGTAAAGCAACAGCTGATAGTTAAAGAACCAGAGAGAGCATTTAAATAAACCAATAATCCACAGAACTTCTAAGTTCTAGTGAATCCTCCTTAGAGACTCCTATCAGAAAATAAACGGGGGGAAAAATCATCTTCCTTCCAAACACAAATATAGACACAGCATCAAGGTGAGAAATATTTCAATCAAACAGATAAAAGTTACAGGTTAAAAACCTTTTATCGGAATAAATGCAAACTACACACATAAAAATGCCACTTCTGGTAAGTGCATGTTGATGATGTCCAAATAGAATCTGACCTGTTATCATAAGCTGGGCTGTTGCCATCAACAACTTTAATAACAGATGATTTGGGCCTGATTTTTAGTTTCTCTCCTAGACATAGCTATAGGCTCATTTTTTACTGTCACTAACTCTTTCATCCCTTTTGGTATGAAAACTGGCTCACAGCTCATCAGCTTAACCATTTCTTTCCTAGAGAGAGCTAGTTTACTATTCCGTCTCCTCCAATATCTAACAAAGTATTTATGGTCTCTTTTTTGTGTCTGCTTCTATCTCCTTGAAACCACAGTAAGACTCTTAAGGAGGTTTCTCCCTGTTAAAAAGGAGCATATGCTTGGTGTGAGGGATTACTGTAGAGTCAATGATAGAATACAAGCGAATGTCTACTGTCGCCACAAACTCATTAGGAGGATCGAATTCCGGAAAGTCAATCACTTGATGCAATCAGCTGAGTTTCCTTAGAAAACTTTTAACCAATTTTACTAGAGACAGAAGGATACATCATCCGGCTAATAAAGGTCCTTCTCAAAATATTAGCATATTGTGATAAAGTTTATTATTTTCCATAATGTAATGATAAAACTTGAACATTCATATATTTTAGATTCATTGCACACTAACTGAAATATTTCAGTTAGGGCTACAACTAATGATTATTTTGCAAATTAATTAATCTGTATATTATTTGTGCGATTAAGCATCAAATAGCCAAAACTTCCTAAAAAATGTTTTACAAAATTAAACCAGGTGAAACAAAAATTTTCCAGTTGAGGAGTTCTGGATAGAGCATATTAATGGACACAAAAGTTTATTTTTTATCTTAAAGGTATAGTGGAGGATGTGTATTTTCTGGGCAGATCATCAAAATAAGGGGTCCTCCTAATTGTCAATCATTGTGGTGATATATTTACTTATGGCTACGTACTCATCCCCATTTTCACGTACCAGTGGTGAGTCTGACATAGTGGAAAACTTGCAAATCTTCTTTTGGAAAGTAAGCTTATATGAGCGATGCAAACAGCAATTTTTAAACAAAGCGTGCAGGAGGAGAAATGGGCACATGCATGCTCTGCATGTATACAATAGGCCTTCCCTCTCGGAAATGGTTACAGGGGTGTGCATGTACATTTTTTATATTTTTTTTTTATGTGGAGAGGACGGGTCTTTTCAAAAATTCACGAAAATCCTGCACTATACCTTTAAATGCACAGTATTTATATATATATATATTTTTTTTACAATTTTGGCATTATTACAACTCTAAGTGGGTGGTTCTGTCAGCTAAAGGCATGCTTTACAGTCTCTATACTCCATTGATCGATTACTAAGGTAGTTGATGATGATTCCAATAATTGATTAATCTCAAATAATCCGATAAATTGTTTCCTAGTTATCATTGTCTCATTAAATTAATGTAAATTAAGGAAGGAAAAACAATATTGGCCCAAAGATATCAGCAGCGCATATCAGGGATAGCTTAAACTGTATCAGCATCCACCTTAGAAAAACCTACATTGGTTATTCTCTAAATCTGACTTTATCATTTGATTGAATTGTCTCTATAAAATGCCTACAGATGGTGTATTGTAAACTGGTGCAAAATAAATACATTTAATTGAATCTTGGATCCAACAGATGTGACGGAAAATTAATCAGACTATGTATAGTGTTGTTATCACTAGTATCAGTATTGATAAGGATGATTACTCACAGAGCCATGAACTCCGTAGCGACTTCTTAATGCCTCTACAGTTTCTTACTGTATTTCTCTTGCCATTTAAATCTCACTTTGAATTTTTTTTTTTTTTACTTTTCTTACACTGCATCTTGTCGTCTTTTCTTCTTTCGTCTTATTCCTGACCTGAGAGTTTCTAACTTGCTCTATACTAAAGCTGTTGTGCAGAACATCCCATCAAGAGGAACAGGACAGATGGCTCATCTGGAACATCAACGGTGAAGTGTTACACCATCAAGATGCTAAAGTTCCCTAAAAGCTCCCCCCTTAAAGACAGGATTGGGGGATCCTTAATTTTCTATTATTAATTTTTCTTTCACGGAACCTCCAAACCAAACCGAAATCAGAAGCAAAACCAAAAGCAACAATCATTCAAAAATGTCCTGCTGCATGAAGTAGGGCACACTTTGTTTTACAAGCATCGAACAATTCAAAACAAAACCGGTGGGTTTGCATTAACATGCTCAGCTGATCGGGTCACAACGTCAGGTTTCAGTTCCTCCTTAGAGGAGCTAAGATTAGGAAGACTTCCTTTACAGGCACATGTGAAACTCACACTGGTTTCAGTTGTGATACAGCTGCTTGTCAAGATTCATTTCAGGTGCAACCCCAAGAGCTTAACCAGAATATAAAGGTAAAAACAAGGACCAAGATCTTTGTTCAGCAACAAGTTAGATGCTGTTTAAGTTTATTTAGCATATTTAGCATGTCATTGTGGTACAATGCATAACCAAGCTAAAGCATCCAACACACAAACAAACCTGCTTGGTGGCTGCAAGTTTTTTTTGCAGATGCTCGATGGTCTCTTCTGCCACACGGATCTTCCTCAGGGCATCCTCATCAGCCAGCTTCTTGCTCTCTTTCCTCTCCCTCTCCTCCAGTTCTCGCACTCGCATCCTCAGGTCTTCCACCTGGATGGCATAGGAGAGAGGGTGGCCATTTACCCTCCATACAAAACATTCTACATGAGAAACGGGGTCTTTAAATGACGTCACATGAGCACACTTTACGATCATCTTGGGTGGCAGCTGCAGCCTGGTTTCGTTGGTTTAGCATGGTCAGTGAAGCAAAACTTTGAACCATTCAAATACAACTATGGGGAAAACTTCGTTAATTATAGAATCCAGAGGTGAGCGGCAGAGGCACGCCTGGGTCAAGCTGAATTTTATAAAGCCTGATTCATACTACAGTAACAGTTCACAAATACAATGTGTTTTCTCCTGCATAACTTTATCAAACTAAGGAAATTTTCCATGGTCTGCTTAACCAGATGCAGCTAGTCTAACATGGGGACTGAAATCAGAAATCTGTGTCACCCCAATTCAAATAGATCAGTAATATCTAAAATGGGTTTTACACAATAAAAAAGCATAGATGCAAGTATCGTTTTAAGGAAAAATTTCCTCAAATTAACAATGAAAAAACATATAAAAATCCCTCAAATATTTCCAACAGTTTTAAAACATACCCGTCCTCATAGGATTGTGAAACCTTGCATGTTCTCGCACCAAACCAGAGATGTATCAGAATATAGCATCCAGGTCTATATAGGCTCTCATTGTTAGAGCGTTTTTTTCCCCAAATGCAAGATCATGGAGTGACACAAGCAGCCAATCATCTGGGTTTACGCTAAACAAACCAGCATGCATTAAATCTGCGTGCAGCTTGTGGATGGCCACAATTTTCATAGGATCCAAGGACTTATCAGGTATGGATGACCAACTCTGCCATATTTAAAAATATATACATAATTAAATAAATGCTCAATAAATAAATAAGCATACAATTAATTGCCACCAAAAACACAATCAACAAATAAATGTAAGTAGAAATTAAATTATACAGTGAGACAAATGTATGCCATCCATCCATCCATCCATCCATCCATCCATCCATCCATCCATGGATGGATGGATGGATGGATGTATTTGCCTTTGTAATATTTACCTTATTTATGTTTTTGTCGTTTATAATCTTCAACTTTATTTTTTAATTACTTATATTTTTAAGTATTTATTCATGTGCATTTTATAATATTTTTGTCTGTTTTATTCTTCCTTTGTATTTTTTTACCCTAGTTATTTCTTTGCCGCTATTTATTTCTGCCTGCCCTTTTTACATTTCTGTATGCATTTTTTATTTATTTATTGAGTATTTATTTATTTCTGTATGTTATTTTTAAATATGGCAGAGTTGGTCCTCCATAATCAGGAGGCTGTTATAAATCTAGATACTCGTCCACGGGTGAATATGTATGCAATGTGGCAAAATGCTTGAAGCCATATAGGAACATTCAAGATGGTGGACCGTAGGAGAAAATGTTCATTGTTAGTATAAAAAAAAAAATTCATTGAAACACTTAAGGCATTCCCTATTCCATTGCCCCCAGCTCCCTAAAATTGTAAAAATTTGGATTTATTTATTCTTAAGTCATGTAAATTAAGATAGAACTGTGGAACAAAACTGTTTCTTAAAATGGAAAAAGGTATTTCCTTTTGAAACTCATAAAAATCAAACCTCCAACCGTTGTTCTTCAAACACTTAAAAAGCCTATTGAAGAACAGCTGACTTTACTATTTATTTCTACAGGTAATTATTGAATATGCCATCACTACGGTAGCTGCTGCACAGCATGCATTCCTCACAGCAGAGCACATGTAAATTTGGACCATTTCTTGAATTTTGGAGACTCGTTAAAACTCTGGAATAAAACAAACCTCTGCCTTCGATTTGCGCTCAGCTGCCATTAGCTGCACTTTGTCTCTTTGCTCCTTTGGAGCTGATTTATACATGTCCAACAGGAGCTTCATCTCCTTCTGGGACTCCTGAGCTTTCCTAGTGAAAACAAGGAGAATCAGTATTAATCATTTAAACATATATTTTCTTAATAGTTTGTATATTTGTTTAAACGACATCATAAAAGAAAAAAAGAAAATGACTCAATCACTTCTAAGAAAGTAATTTCTAAATAAGATGCAGAGATGACTGTACTTGAGTTCAACTCGGAGCATCTTCAGAGTATCAGAGTCCTTCCTGTCGTCGCTGCGCTGTCGCTCTCTCTCACGCTCCCTCTCTCGTTCCCGTTCTGCTTCTCTCTCTCTCTCCCTCTCCCTCTCCCGCATCCGCTGTCTCTCCAGTTCCTTCCTCCTCTCTTCCTCTTCCTCCTGGTCTTCGTCCTCTTCCTTTTTAACATCAATGCTGTCGCTTGTTGACTCCTCTAGAATCAGAACCCCAGCATCGCCACTCTGACAGCGTAGCTGTCAATCAAAGCAAACAAAAGTTTTGGAATTAAGCTGCCAGGCAGACTTGGCACACAACAACTTTAACAATAAAAAAAAAAAAATGTATTCATGAGTTAACCATCCAATCTACCTTATTGATCTCCATCTGTGTTTCCCGTAGTTTTCTCTTGTAGCGCTGCACGTCACCTTTCAGTTGCAGGTTGTGGTTTTGAAGGCTGCTGATCAAGTGTCGCATCTCCCTGTTTATTGGTCCTGAGTGGGTAACAGACAAAAGATGTGGATTGAAACTCAGTCAGTGAGTGATCTGGTTATGAGTCATTCAGCACTGTGTAGCCGCATAATGCAAGTGATGGAAAAGATTAGCTTATGCCGATATAGAGAGAAGTGAGATAATAAAGAAAATTGACACATATACAGCAAAAAATCAAAGAATTCTGTGCATCCATATTTTGGTCTGTATGGCTCCTTGCAAACAGAAAATTATGTTACCATTCTGTTTATTTAATTATATACAAAATGTGGCTCATCTAACTTGGCAACCCAAATAGATGTTATGCTACTTCCAGGTTTAGTTCTACATATTCGAATTGAATCTTTTCAGGCAAAGGAGGGAGATTCAGCAGAGCATAGAGAAGAGTTTAGCAACTAATAGCATTTGCAATACAATCACAATTTAATAAAATGCAAGTTTTAAAACTCAGGGACACTGATTGTGGTCAAATTACACTAACTTTCTCACTCCAGCCCTTAAGGTGGCAGTAATACACATTAAGCGGATTTACTGCATGGGGTGCTGTTGTAACGATAGAGATAGAGCACAAGACCCATATACTGACTGCCGTAGGTTTGAGTCCCAGCCTGCCGACCTTTGCCGAATGCATCTCCTCTCTCTACTGTTAAATAAAGGCCACTTGTGGATTTGCTGCCACACAGAAGGGAAGAGGCAGTTTCGGCTATCAAGCAGGATCCTTGCATCAGAGTAGAAGTAAGCACTTTTCCAGAAAAGAGTAGTAGCAAAGTCCTACAACAATGTACTTTAGACAAGCAGATATTCAGCCCTGGAGTGAAACAGCTTCATTAGAGCAAAGGAAAAACCAATTAAAATCACAATACTGGTTAAAAAAATTATTTATATACATATCACTACCTAACGCTCGCCTATCAAAGCTTGGTTTTAGCCAATCACTGTAACAAATTAAACTGGATCAGACTGAGAAACCTGAAAAATGTGGGCTTTTACACTTGTGCTGCTTCACTTTTAAAGATGAAATCCTGGGTTCGGACCAAACAGATGTGTTAGCAGCAGCTATGTGCAAGTCCTACTGCACTGCCATGTTTATTTTAGTTTGGCTGTGGGATCGGCAGCTTTTGTCACACCATAAATCCCACCTAAAACCACAATACTGCATTGTAATTGGTCGGCTTATCTATGATCAGACATATAATGTAAGCTGGGGCAGCAAGATGGATCTAGGGTGTTTGCGGACACACATATACCACAACAATTGTAGCTTGCTGGCAAGGCTGTGTTTTGATTACAGCACAAAAAAGTTTTGTGTCCAAAATATTGCAGATATTAAGAAACAAAATACATAACTAAGCATCATTTATCTTTTATTACTTATTTTTATTTGTTCTTCAGGTTTATAATGAAGCAGATACTATGTGAGGAAGGATACTTTAAAACTGTACCCTAACAATACAGAAAATAGAAAGTACCTCTCAGTTTTGTGTTCACACTTTCTCAGGACCTTTTTACAAACGTTATTATCAACAATTAATTGTGTTTTCTTCAGTTGACTTCCAAATTATTCGAATGCTGTGCTTTTAAATACCTGCTTGTTCATTTGCCGCGAGATTCTGCTCAAACTCTATGCGAAGCATCTCATATTCTTTGCGAACTTGGGCCAAAGTGTCCTCTAGCTGGATGACCTCTGTTCGCAGCTTCTTCTGCAGGGACAGCTCGTCACTCTAATAGAGAAAAATCAGAAAAGCTGTCAACCATTCTAATAAATACACTCATTCTACAAACATGTTCCATCTTAAAACTAAAACACTGGATCCAATGCTTTCCCTTTGTTTTATCGCAAGATTTCTACTTGCGCATGCACTTTGTCCAAGACTCACCTCCATGTGCTCGATCTGTCTGAGATGAGCATTTTTGGTAGTGAGCAGGAGAGCCCGCGCTTCATCCAGCTGAGTCTTAACTCCAAGAGATTCATTGTAGAGCAGCGAGAACTGAGACTGCAAACATTTATATTCTGAGGTTTCTTTCACAACTTCTTCTGGAATATTACGCAGGTCCATCTGAAAAGATGAGCGTATATTTTAGATCTTCCCCAGAGAATGAGATGTGGCATATTATTAACACGTACACACGTAATGAAAACAGACTCTTCACCTTGAGCTTCTCACTCTCCCTCACAGCCTCCTGGAGCTCCAGCTGCAGCTTTTCCAGCTCTGCCATGCGACTATTAGCCAACTCCTGGTTATGCTCTAGCTCTGCATTTAGACTCTCAAACTAACAGACAAGAAAAATACTTTACAAAGACTACAAAGACCACAACACACCGACATTCCTTAGAGAAATCCTACTCACCTTCTGAATGTTCAGTGTTATCTGTCCTCCAGCTAAGCCGCCAGAGCTGCCGGTGCTGCTGTATCCAGACTTAAGCTGCAGAAATCAGATCAGATGCACATCATGAATCATAGAAAACAAACCAACACAGGATGACAACATTTGGATTCCAAACCCTTTCCCGGCTGTCATCTACATTAAGGGTATGCAAAATAATCGTCATCACGATGGCATCACGATTCTAATTTTTGTGATCCACTGCATCGATTTTTGAAGGCAAGACATCAGCCAA